TTGCTGGACTGCATCAGCCTTTGAGTGTCCTGACACCACCTTCCAATAATTAATTCATGGTGGTAATGTGTCATGGACTCCCTTACTTTTTCAAAGTGCTCTCCTGTCCACAGTTCAGCCATAGCTTACACCAGGGCTCAGTACACCCAATTCCTGCAGAGTACAAGGAGTAGGTTTCCACAAATGAAGCACACAGAAGGACAAAAAGTTATCTCTTTTACAAAGTAAAATTCACAGGAACCCATCTAATGCACAGTCTCTGCTTACCTAATGCATATTTATTAGGAGATGTGATCTTGCACAATGCTTGAGTGATTTGGGTGGAACTCATCAGTTAAAAAACCCAAAGTTCTTCATTATGCAACTTTTGTTGTAAATGGTATCTGACAACATTAGTTGTATTTACAAAAGGCGAGAAAATTCAGTCTGGGAGGCAGATAACTTGACTCACAGAGTGCTGATCACACCTCTAGGCAGTTCCTGTTTGACCAGGATACTATGCAAGTATACATACTTAACCAAGGAGAGTCCATGCCTGACAGTGGAGGAAGGGGCAGGGGTGCCACACCAACAGCACTAGGCTGGGCGGCATGCTCTGGCATCTTGGAATCTGGACAATGCAAAGGTCAAGGATCTCCAAAAGATTAGGCACTTGCTGGCAAGGAAACCATAAAACCTTGGGCAACAAGTAAACCAATATACAGTGGGCATCCCAAGTGCATCTGCTGCAACAGACTTCTGGTATCTCTGCTGTGATGCAAGGTTGTGAAGTGTCTGGATATGTGTGCAAGGGTAATTAGAAATGTAGCATGATATTGAGTTTGTTTTAATTCAGAAACAAGTATTAATTCCTCATTTGCACAGTCTCTTGAAACCCGTTTGGCATGTTGAGGATATTCAACTCTGTAGCAACTGATTTTCAGATCACAGAATCATAGTATATCACAAGTTGGAAGGGACTCATAAGGATCATCAGGTCCAGCTCTCTGCTCCTCACACTGAAACCTAACCATATGACAAAGAGTGTTGTTCAGATGGTCCTTGAATTCAGACAGACTTGTTGCCACAAGCAATTCTTTGGGAAGCTTGTTGGGAAGATTGACTGGCCATGCTCTCAGTGAAGAACCTTTTCCTAAAGTCCAGTCTGGACTTCTTCTCACATGGCTTCATTCCATTTGCTATTACTGGTCACCAGCGAGAGGAGATCAGCACCTCCTCCTCCACTGGTCCCTTTGGTGGTGCATTCCTCCCCTCCTCAGATTGCTCTACAATCTCTGGAATTCTCTTTAGGACTAAGCCTTGAGGAATGACTTAGATGCAGCTTCCCTCAATCTTATCAGAAACTCATGCATGACTAAGGTGGGAAGGCACTGTCCTTAGCAGAAGCTTCTGTTGCATAACAAAGGACAAGAGCCCTTACAACCCTGGACACATTTCTTGCCTGAATCATTCTGGAGACTCACAGACGACAGAAGCCAAGCATTTTGCAGCCCTGTAAGCAGCAGTCTTAAGTGAGACCCTCAGAGCTCTCCTGGGTATCAGCAGGCTCCATGTCCCAGCCTCTTGCTCCAAGTGGGACACCGCTCAGAGCCTGCCAGCTCCCACACTCTGGTACTTGGAGGACCATCACTGAAAGCTGACAGGGGGACCTGGGCTGGTACACCACTCTTCAAGGCTCAGCCTGCTGAGAGATGCAAAGGCATTCCATGTGAGTTCACTGACCTTGGTGTGGGAGGAATTTTTAATAGGTACCTTTGTACATGTTGCCTTCTGTCTGTGTGTATGAGAGTTTGAATGGCTTTAGATACCCTAGAGCAATACAATATGAATATTGCCAATAAGTTCATAGTTCAGTTACTTTGCTTATAGTAAACACTATTGAATAATTTTCTGTTAAAATAATGATTAAGTGCTTCTAAATCCTTTAGACATAAAACCCTTGAGCAAGCCTGAGGCTAAGTTTGGCAAGGGGATCCATTCTGAATATGGTGACCCAATGGGAGTGTCTCCCTTACCCTTTTTCACTCTCATCCTTTTGTAACCCAGAGTCTATCAAAATTATTTTAAATATGTTCTGATCAAGTGTTTCTTTATATGCTTTATTCTATGTGGTAGTATGTTCTGCAACAGTAGTAAATTTTGCCACTGAACTCTGTTAAGCCACACTTTCACAAATACATTTAAAACCTCCTTTACTAATAACTTTGATGATGATTCTTTAAGCAGCCAAAATACTCATTCATGACATCCCTCTCAAGGAAGTGTTAGGCTGCAATGGGGACACCTCACAGTCTTCTCTTCTCCAAGTTGAAGAAATCAAGTGGCCTTTGCCACTCTTCCTAAAGATTACAGTTGAGGCCAGTTCACCATCTTGGTCACTCTCTAGTAATTTGATGTCATTCTTAGATTGAGGTGCCTAAAACTCACACAGAACTCTCCCTACAGAGGCGAGGTGGCACTAGTACAGAGCAGATCAGGACAATCACCTACTTTAAACAGCTCAAAGTGCTGTGCTTGATATCCATCCCATGGTGTGGTTGGCCCTTTTGGCTGCCTGGCAACATTGTTGACTCATACCCAATTTGCCATCAATCCAAACCCCCAGATCTCTTTTCATGGGCCTGTTCTTCAGCCTCACATCTCTGTTACTAGTGAGAGATGCCACTGCCTGAATTAAGGTGCAAATGAGACCATATGCTGGAGTCAACTATATGGATTTCATTTAACAACAAACATGAGGTAGAGAGATAGAAAAAAGAACTAGAAAACAGAGAAGAGAGAGAACGAGAGAGAGAGAATTATCAAGCAGATCCACCATCCATGTATCCAGGGGTGTCCCACTGGTCCTTCCTCACCCTGGGCTCTCCGTGGTAGGTTGATACGCATTCTTTTGGCGGTACCACCTTTATATAGTCCAAGTGCTGAATATCAGATGGAGGTATGTTCCTAATTTACATGTTAAGCGAGGTCAGGAATGCCTCCATGGCATGCAAAAGTAAGGGTAGGCTAGGTCCTCTTTCTGAGAATGCTTCCTCCAAGGTTTTGAGGGGCTTTTGCTGGTCACAGCTACTGTCTGACCATAATAGGGGGTGATCTTTGTTTGACCAGTGATGTCTGTATGAGTAGCTGCTTCCTTTCACACAGCTTCCTTCCACAATAGGATTTTTTGTCTGGATGCATTAACCAGGATGTGCTAACCAGATATAGCCTCCACCAGGCCAGGAATGAGTCCTTCCTGTTGCAAATTCCTTTTTTCTGTGTTTATCTTACTGCAAGTCCTTCTCTAGCCTTAACAGTGTTTCAGATAGGCAACTGTGCTTTTTAACTTCTTACAGTCTCCAGTTCGCACATATAACCAGGATTGCCCCTATTCCAGGTGATGAATCTAGCACTTGCTCTTGATATATTCATAAGCTGGATGACTGCCAAACCTCTGAAGTCAATCTAGGTCTCTCTGTAGGACCTCTCTAGAGGTGGGTTGTGGGATTTTGAGGGTCTTTAGTGGTCTCAATCCTTTGGTCAACAGTTCATGCCTGCATCTGGACCTCATCTCAGCGCTTGCACTGTCTTTTGTGTGTGGTAGTCTCCATGGATCAGAACAGGGGAGTGGGCCCCAGAAAGTTGCTGATCTTCCTACATACAGATCCCCTCTCCTGCCACATCCTGTTCTAATTTGCCCACTTGTGCTATAGTGGCTATTGCTGTTTGAGACATAGACTCAAGCATTAACTCCTTGTTGCCCCAGTGTTCCACACAGGCCTAGCCAGGATCAAAACATAATGGTACCTTACTAGCCCAAAGAAAGGAACAGTGTATTTCAAAGAAGCAGATAACAGAATGTAAAAGCAGACACACAAGATGCTAAATGTAGCTGGAACCAGTGGATAAACAGAAAATGAGGGATTATAGTGGCTTTTGTGGGAAAGCCATGTAACAAGAAGCAACACCACATGCCCTAAGAGAAGCTCAAGACATGGTCATCTGTAACACTGAGGGCACTTGGTGGGTAGGACAACCAGAAATCCCTTCAGACAACCCTCTGCAATCATAAGATAACTTCCAGTAAGAGTAAGAGGTAGATGCATGGAAATTAGTTCTAGGAAAGGTGATGTTTATGTCTTAGCCAGGAAGTACACTGTAATCCCTATGTATGAATGTCGTTGTGATGTTTTTGGAGCAGACACAACACAAAGCAGATCCTTAACAAACTTAATCCAAGTTTTTGTTGTGGCCATACCTAGCATCTTTATACTCTTCTGGCTCCACAGTGCACTTCATCCTATTGGCCATCATCACAGTGAAAGCACTATTTTGAGAAAGCATCCCCAAAATCCAGATAAATCATCAGAGCAGTACTGGGGTGGCAGGCCAGCTCTCAGCACCCATCTTAGCCCTGCTACAGCACCAGCACACTTAGTCCTCCCACAGCATAGCCAACAGACTCCAACTGAACTTGACCGACTAACCTACTCTTTTATAACTCCCATCCTTATTGCTATGAGGGAAAGGCTGTTCCCACTCTTTGGTAATTAACACAGCTGCAATTATCAGGGGCAAGACTACCTTCAGCACTATCTCTCTCCTCCTCCTCCCACATATGAGCACGGTGGAATAAATGCTTTGTTGCAAAGTGTCATGACACACACAATTAGAGGAAATAATATTCCAGGTGACCAGTGATGCAATAAAGAATGCCTGCTTTCTAATACTTCAAAATTGTGGTAGAAAATGAAAGAAAAAAAAAAAAAAAGAGGCTGGGCTTTTATAATATCAAGTTGTTGGCTGCCAGTCATATGATTCTAGGGCAGCTGTGTCAGCCCAGCAATTCTAGATACCTTATCTGTAGTATCACTTGTTGGTTGCTTTATAAGGAAATTTGTCTGTTGCATGCTCACCTGTGCCAGTTTCTGCCAGAAAACATTATTATTTGTATCCTTGGAATGTTTGACTTCAACATTGTCAAGCTGTCACCAAAATGCAGGAATAAAACTTAACACTGATGCACGGGGATAACTCCTGTTAATTTTTATTAGTCTCCAGTTATATGACCAAATAGCATAAAAGAAACTTATCCAACATCAATTTCATGTTGATAGGAAATATATATGCTAATATCTTCACAAACAACTGGATGGGTGGGGGTCTTCACTAATGATAGGAGAAATAGGGTGTTATTGTCTTCAGGAATGACTGAAAGAACTAGTCAGGTTCTGCAAGAATGGCTGTGGGGGCCTTTAGGGGAAATGGGTCTTCATGTCTCTACGAACGTCAAGCCGAGCAAATTACAGAATCCAGAGAGTTGGACCCAGACTTTCTGAGCTTTACAGTAATAGGAGAAAGGGGTCCGCACAAACTCTATTGCAGAACTCAGAAAGCCTGAACTTTAGGGGAAAATAACCCTGCTTGCATATTTAGTCGGCGGTTCAGAAGTCTGTGCTTTCCTAGTACCTCAGCCAGTGGAGAAAGGAACACAGCAACATGCGCTGAGTTTAAGATAAAAGGAGGCTGTGCCCTCCAAAACCTTGTGAAACACTCCACAGAGGTACAGCCCAGCGTACTCTCTCCCTTTATTGGAATAAATTTGCAGGACTCCTCCGTCTCCTTTACAGACACTGGCTTTTCACAGCACAGCTTTTCCGCACAATGTGAATAAGCAGGCACTTCTTTATTTTGGTGCAAGGAACACAGGGAATTACTCCTCCGAGAATGTTCTGCTTAATAAACAAAATACATCCATTTGATGTACTTTTTCTGCTGAGTCATCATTACATAAGTTCTTTTACATTTTATGAAAAATATGTCTGCTCTTAAATTTAACCTTACCCATAACTGGTTTTTGCTAGTTAAATAGCTTCATCAATATTCCTACCTTAAGACATTCGGGCATCTCTACTGAGCTCCGACCTACCGATTGGAATCCTTGATATTCCAATCAAGATGGGAAGGGTAGGGGTTTCCAAGCAGTATAACTGGTCTGCATGATGGTTTCCAGAGTTTCTTGAACAAAACATAAGACGTCCAGTAGCTTCTTGTCGAGGTTTCTGCTGCGTATTTTACACACGGGACTCCTGACATTCCTATACCTTATACTTCACAATTTTCTACTTGTAATCATAACCAGCTCTTTTATATTATTAAACCGATTATTTTATCAGAGTATTTATAATATGAAGTCTCAATGGGTCCTCAGCCCGTGGGGGAATATGAAAGGACCACTCTGTGATTGTTAAAAAAACGTGACGCGCTTGCAGCAGGGAGCTGTGGGAGCTCTCTGGAGGGCTGAGAAGGCAGGAAGGAAAGCGGCAGGGAGGAGGGGCTCAGCCTGGAGGGATCCGGGAGGCTCAATCCAGCGCGGCTCTCCGCGGCCGAGCCCTCAGCACCGCGCTCGCCGCAGCCGGCGGCCGGGCCCCGCACAC